GTGAGGGATGATATAAAAATCAAAGTTCCCAAATAAGCAGGCTTGGCAAAGTGTGCTTGTAAGCACAACATCATTACTTTCGGTAAGAAGATGTGTAGTGGCATCATTGTTCAACCTAAGTGTCCCAAATAATCGTGTCAATGCAAGTAAACTACTTAATCATTAGGCTCCAGATCGGCCACATGTGGCGTGTTCTCAGTTAGGAGGCAGCCCATTAGCCCCAAAACAAAGCTTCAAGCTCATTTTTGAAGGTGGTGCAAAAATATTCTTCTCTATTTTTCATTAGTGGTTTCATTCATGATTATTGCCATGTCAAATATCTTTAAGACTCAATGACGTTCTTCGAAAACGGAGAGAATATAAGGTCTCTTAAATGGTAATTTAATATCATTCATACAATGAGGAGCATGCCAAAGCTCTTAATCAGGTTGGATAAACCTGAAGTCGTTGCTAGAAATGTAATTTACGTATAAAATTAGTGTGTGTAGTATCGCATTCATCAAGACAACTAACTTTCCCACATTCGTACCTAGTCACATGTTTAATTGAATTTGGTCACATGTATTAAGAAACATGATTCAATTAACTAATACTCGAGGACAATATCAATAAAATTATCCATAACTAAAACAAACACCAAAAGTGAATCCATGAACGTAAAAAATTGTTCACATTGTAAACCAAAATGTACTAAAGTGGATGGCCATTCATGTCAAAATTCTGCTCTTCCAAAGGTGTTTGGTGGAGTAAAATTAGTCTCACATATTGACTACTAAAAGGGTCTGTTTATTTCACCTCACTAAGTTTCACTTGACTAGACTAGATTAAGAGTCAGTGAAATCTTATGTTTGTTACACATAGAGACTAACTTTAATGAGATTCAGTGGGACTCGCCTAGACTAAGTCCCTTACTAAAGGTTCTTAATGAGTCCCCTCAGAAACCAATGGATTCCTAAGACCATTTACTTCTCTTTGTTTTGTCTTGCTGCTTCGTACTTCGAGCTCGCAGTCAAAGCAGTGCTCGTATAGGAGAAGAAGTTGCGAACAAGCCTTGAGAGGAAAAATGGAGGACTAAAATGGGCAGAATGCTTCGCCAAAATCACAAAGAAAATCATGGCGGTGTTCTTCCAATTTGACGAAGGCGTTATCAAGGATATTATATTTGGGAATTTTGAGGTGGCCAGGCTTGTGAGGAAGAAAGAAATGAAAAAGCTTGAATTTCAGAGCTTACATGCCATTGATGGACCAAAATAAAATAAAATAAAATTTAAAAGAGATTTTTTTTTTTTTGGGAAAATCGGTGAGATTTTAAGGGAGAGAGTGTAGAGATGTAATTCATCTGAAACTTCTCAGGATTAATTCATGTAGAGTGAAAATATCTGGAATGAAGTTTAATGGAAATAGGATTTTAATGGGGCTGGTGGAGCTTGGAAGGGGTCTTATGGAACTCTCTTGAAATGGGATTTCAATGGGTTGGTGGAACATGTATTGAATGAAGTGAAAGTATCTTGGTTAAAAATAATAAAATATTAATAAAATGATTAAAAAGTAACAAAAAATTATGTAAGGCTTAAAAATAAGTTAGTTTATGACTTAGTCCAGTACCACACCAAACGCTTTATTATTCTTATACTACGTAGTCCTTGCCAAGCCGATCTAGCTTAGTCCCTGAAGTTAGCGCAGTCTGAGATAGTCCAGTGCAACAAACACACCCTAATGGTGCTCCTCTATGACATTGGTAGGGGCCCAAATAGGTGCATAACCAATGATTTATTCCATAAAAATTATTCTCTAGGGAAATTCTATCGGATTTACAAACTTTATAATCGTATTCATTCATGGATGTAATCTTGGTGTGCTTCAAGCAATATCTTTCATGATTAAACGGTTTGTAGGAGTGAGCCAAAGAGCCATGAAATCTTCTTTCGAGAGGTATTTCCATTTGTTATGCTTGGGGCATAAGTCTTCGTATGAAGATTATGGCGGAGGCTTATTCAGCTCTTTCATGCCATTGTTGGCTTCAATAGTCACTTAGCTTCTTGATAGTCAAGTGGAGATTCATGTCTTGTACCCACATAAAGTGGTTTCAGTCAAGAAACGTCCAAATCAATGAAATCAAACTTGTTACGGTTTGACAATCCACTGAATGGATGAAACAAGGTTGTGATTGGTGATATGGAAATAAGATATCCATAAGCATCAAAGTTAGAACATCTGAGTTCTCAAACATGGTTTACATGAAAAGTGTCGAGTTTTCATGGGTGTATTGTTTTACGAAAGCTTCAGGTTTCAAAAGGACTAAATTCAAAACTACTGGTTCGAGTTTAGTTATGAACTTCCAGTTCATAAAACGAAGTACTTGTAAGAACATATAATACAATATACAATTAAATGTAGTGGATTTGGGTTGCTTCAGGAACTTAAGTGCGAGTGCTTCGAGAGTACGAAAGAGAGTTAGCGGTTAAAAAAAAAAAGGAAATAAAATATTGAATCATTAATGTCTAAAAGTGGGCTTCAGGCCAATAATTTTGGATGTCTTGTCAGATTAGTGGACTGCTGATTGCTTTAATTAATTTAATAGATCGAGACTATTCGGGGTCGATCATAGAAGCAAAATAATGCAAAGTTTTAGGCCAAATTTTGGGCTAGACAGCTGCAAGCCATTCAAAAGAAAAGGCCAAAAAAATGGTTAAGACCATGAAATTGGGCACCAAAAATATGGGTGCGGGTTGAAAAAAATAAGAAAAAGCCAAAATGGGTTTGGGCCTAGAAACAGGGGTAGCCCAACATTGAAATTGTTGACTGCTTCTTTAAGCAAGGCCCTGCAACATTAAGCTGTAGGCTGGGCTCATGCAGTAGGGAGCCCAACAACCTGCAAAAGCAAGCTTGCAGGCTTGCTACATTCACATGTTGAGAAAGAAAGAAAAAAAATATGGCCCATAGGATAGGGTGGTTCAAGGAGCAAGGGCTCATCAAAATGGCTTTGGACCGAGAAACAGGGGTTGCCCAACATTGAAATTGTTGGCTGCTGCCTTAGGCAAGGCCCTGCAGCATTAGGTTGCAGGTTGGGCTTATGTAGCAGGCAGCCCAACAACCTGCAAAAGCAAGCTTGCAGGCTTGCTACAGTCACGTGCTGAGAAAGAAAGAAAAAATATGGCTCATAGGATAGGGTGGTTCAAGGGGCAGAGGCTCATCCATGTAGCTGCAGGCAAATAGGATAGGCCCATTATTTTAGGCAAAGGCTCAATGTGAGACAATAAGTAAAGTAGTAGGCTTGTTGCTGCAACACGGGCTGAGGGAAAATAAGGAGGACAAGCCCAATCAGCTACTTGAGGCTGATGGAAGGTGGGCCTGTCAAATGAGAGAAGCCCATCATGTAGGCTTTGGGTTCCATGCACAGCAAAGCCCAAAAAGGCTGTTATCTGTGGCAGCGAGGCTTAGCTTGGTTGAACGATTTTCCTTTTCTTTTTTTGTTTCTTTTTTTGTTTCATCAAATTTTTAGGGTTAAAAAAAAAAAAGAATCATGTTTCTATTTTATTTCGATTCTTTGACTCACAAATTCCACATAGCGATTTTACAATTGTGTAATGCATGAACGTGTGTGTGTATATATATATACATATATTGATAAATATATGAACACATACAATATATATCAGAAGGAAATGTAGGGGGTTCATGATCATGCAAATGTTTTCATGCTTCAAGGTTGTTTCAAATATCTTACTTTATTATAAAAGAACTTGATTGGCAGAAAACAATTGAGCCTTTGAATTTGTAGAAGATCGTTCTCGAAAAGTCAGAATTGCATCTCCAATCCACTATATCACATTCAACAAAGAAAAATTAAATTGAATTAATAACATGTTGATCAATTCAATAAAATAATAAATTAATTATAAAAAGAATGATTAAACGTAACAAACTTTCTTTAGTGCAACGTCAAAAGCGTGTTGATAACGTGTTGTAGGCCTAATTTATTGAACTGTATAAAGGACATAGAGAGGGGGTGCGGCCAGGGCCAGTTTAGAGATTTTTGAGGCCCAAGGCGACGTAAAAAAATGTGCCCTAACTTTATATAAGAAAATTATTTGTTTTCACATGTAAGACATCAATAAAATTATACTTTGAAAAGCACTTCAAACTTAATAATTTAGAAATACGGAAAAACTAATTTATTTTGTATCGTGAGAAGGAAACAAAAAAACTCGGGGTTTACAAGCAGATGGATTTGAGTTTTGTTTTCCATCTGAACTTTTAAAGTGTTTTTGTACAAATCATGAGGTGTTTTTTTCTTATTTACTAACCTTGTCAATATGGGACTAAAAAAATAATAATTTTTTTGAGTCTTTAATTGATATGTATAAGTAATAAATGCGTACTAAATTAAACTTTTGATGACACATCATATGATTTGCAAATTTGGTCTAAAAATTTGGTCACGCATTACTCTCTTTTGAATATTAGACTTGAATTGGAACAAATGTTTAAAAATAACAACCCACATAACTACTAGCTACTAATTAAAAATAAATTAACCAAACAAAAATTCGTAAATATTGAAAAGAATAAACATGCACTTAGCATTTCGAACTTAGGACCTCTCATTAATTTTAAACAAAAAAAAAAACCATTGGTTCTAATTAAACTTTTTAATCATTTAGCCAAATTTTATATATTTATACTCTTATGAAAAGAAATTTGTAAACATTGAAAAGTGAATAAACACACATGCTGTTTTGAACCCAAGACCTCCTCATTAATTTCAAACAACAAAACCACCAGTTTTAGCTAAATTTCTTTATCGTTGAATAAAATTTTATAAATTTATACTCTTATGAAAACATATATAAATATATCATCCTAATAATTTTGGTGCCTCAATTATTTTGGGCCCCGGACGGTCGCCCTGCCTGCACTGGGCCAGATTGGCCCTGGGTGCGGCCCATTAGAGAGAAAGAGAGATGTGTAATTGTGATACGTGTATTATTCTACCAATTGTGTCTTTATTTATAGTATGAAGGGTAAATTCCTTACCCAATAGGACTACAACTTTAATAGAATAATATCTAATCTAAGGATATTCCAAATATAATAGGATTTACACAATTACATTTCTAATCTAATAGGACTGCAACAAAACTAGCTCTTTTCATTAAAGCTTCTAAAAAATGAAACCCGTAAAAAAAAAAAAAATATCTAGAGCTCGAATGAAAAGATGTAGAAAATTATTTAATTCATTCAGACTGGAGTGACTAACTTATATACCACGTACAGGACCAGCCTCCATTAATTTGTTACTTCAGAATCTCACGTGTTTCTTTGAAATTTTCCGAATCCTCCAAACTTCTCCATCAGCCTCGTTAATATCAATCTTGTCCTCAAGCCTTCCCATCTGTTTTCACTTTTCATATCTAAACAGGAAAGAAGCCTTTCACATTGTTGTTTCTATATTTGGTAATTTGGTTTCACACCGTTTCTATATTTGGTACTTTGGTTTCGCACCGCCATTGGACTAGGTAGTTTATATAAACCTAACTTAGTAACACCGTCTTTATATCAATAGAGACACAAATACTTCAACTGGTACTACTATGGTAAAGTTCCATGTACAAGTTGATCCTCTAAGCCTTGGAGTAGTTGCAGAAGATGAAGAAGCAGCTGAAGATCACATCAGCTACGACGAGCTTAAGAAGCGTATGTGGAAGGATAGTATTCGCTTACAAAAGCTCAAAGAGAATCGTAAAATCATTGAGGCAGAAGAAGACGAAGAAGTACCTGCAGAGTCGTCGGCAAAGCAAGAAGGGTCTCATAGAAAGAAAATGGCAAGAGCCCAGGATTCGATACTTAAATACATGGTGAAAATCATGGAGGTATGCAAAGCAAAGGGCTTTGTGTATGGGATTGTGCCTGAGAAGGGAAAGCCAGTGACGGGCTCCTCTGATAGCTTAAGGGAGTGGTGGAAAGACAAAGCGAGATTTGACCACAACGCCCCCATTGCAATCGCCGAGTATCTGCCAGCTCTGATATTTGAAGGTGAGTCGGATCATGGCTCTTATGCTCATTTGCTTCATGAACTGCAAGACACTACTTTAGGGTCTCTTCTTTCTGCTCTGATTCAGCACTGCGTGCCGCCGCAGCGGAGGTTCCCTCTGGAGAAGGGTTTAGCTCCTCCGTGGTGGCCCACAGGGAAGGAGATGTGGTGGGGGGACCAAGGGCTTTCTGTAGAGCACGGCGCTCCTCCTTATCGGAAGCCCCACGATCTTAAAAAGGCATGGAAAGTGAGTGCCTTGGCTGCTGTGGTCAAACACATGGCTCCTAATTCGGATAGAGTGAGAAGACTTGTGACGCAAAGCAAGTGTTTGCAAGATAAGATGACTGCTAAGGAGACTGCTATTTGGTCCAAAGTGGTTAACCAAGAAGAATCTCTCATACAACTTACAGAGAAATGCCTCAAAATCTCAGATCACTCAAACAAAAAGGGTAAGAATTTGAAGTGGCCTGCTACTACTAGCAATGAAAAGAGGAAGATGATGAGTATTGATTTGGGATTAGGGTTTGTGGAAAAGAAATCAAGGGCAGACTATGATCAAGGTCAAGATCAAGATCAAACACTTTGTGCTTCTGATCAAAATAGTGGTGCTGTTAGTGTGGTGGATTGGATTAATATGGAGATAGAAAAGGCCAATGGGATTGATGACAACAGTGGTACTAAAGTGGCAGACGGCCATGGATCAACAAGCTATTGGGGAGGTGGTATTGATGATGATGATCTAGCTATGGATGGAGCACTTGAGATCCAAAGGGGAAACATGGATTTAAATCGTTCTTCCGAAGATATGTCACATAATTATGACCAAGATTCAACTTCAATTTGGGATTTGGGATATGATTAATTAGTGAATGCACTACTCGCGCATCTTTTAATTAGTTTTCATTTTCATGTAGTTGTTGTTTAAAATGTATCAATAAAATAATTTGTACTAGCGAGACCAATAAGTAATTTGTATTACTTGTCATTATGTTCGTCGCATCTCTCATATGCAACAACCACATTGTTGGACATTTTTTATTTATAATAGCATGACGACTACATGTTAATTAATTAGTTGATTCATAGGGATAAAGATATCATGCATTTTATTTGAACAAAAACTTCTCTCACCCACACTTAAATGTACACATCGTATTAATTATGTTATCTGGAAACTATGTAAGAATGCCTCAGTAGTCAATAGTACATGGATTTTGTTACTTGCCTTGCTGGTTGTTCATTTGGTTTAGAACAAAACTTTTTTTGTGCTAGATTCACTGGCAAACATCTTACAAAGCGAGATCCACTTACATAGAGAGATGTCATGGACAATGCTTACTTTGTTCTCTCTTTCCTTTGTTTTTCATTAACCTTTTTCACTAACCAGAAAAAATATGAACAAAAAGAAAGTTTCGTTGGGGAGGCAAATAATTACTTTCTAGCTTCCTAGTGCAGTACATAATATTCTGTTTTTCACTAACCCGACTGATCGGATTGGAGCGTCGTTCAAGATTGTAGGGTGGTTTTGTCTTTGTCTATAATTCCCATCCTCTTAGTTGCATATGCATGGTGGTTTTTCCTTTTATTAGAACTAGTAATTTCATACACGATATGAAAATAACGGGTTTTAGGTCAACACATGTCACATCTTGATCCGGGCTCCACCACATCTCGGGTTCGACTCTGCCATAGCACGATATTGTCTGCTTTGGGCCTCGACCACGCCTTCACGTTTTTGTTTCGGGGAACTCACACGAGAATTTCCCAGTGGATCATCCATTCTGGGAATGTTCTCGCTCGAACTTGCTTAACTTCGGAGTTCCGATGGAACCCGAAGCCAATGAGTTCCCAAAAGACCTCGTGCTATATGGAGGTGGGCATGTGCATATAAGGCATAGAGGATCCTCTCCCCTGGGCGATGTGGGATCCAACAATCCACTCCCTTTAGGGGCCCGACATCCTCGTCGGCACACTTCCGGCCAAGGATTGGATTTGATACCAAATTGTCACATCTCGACCCGGGCTCTACCACATCTCGAGCTCGACTCCGCTGTAGCACGATATTGTCTGCTTTGGACCCCGGCCACGCACTCACGGTTTTCTTTCTGGGAACTCACACAAGAACTTCCCAGTGGGTCACCCATCCTGGGAATGCTCTCGCCCGAACTCGCTTAACTTCAGAGTTCCGATGAAACCCGAAGCCAGTGAGTTCCCAAAATGCCTCGTGCTATATGGTGGTGGGTGTTGGACATTATATATTATAATTAAAATTATAATATTTAATTTTTATATGAATGGAAAATAGAAGTCATGTGTCTTAGTTGAATTCAAATTCATTAGTTGCGTATGTTCGTTGGAGCTTTAGGCAACGGTCACAATGTTTCAAAAGGGAGTGGCTTAAGTTCTATATAAACTCAAACATCCTACATATCTAAGGGGATTAAGAGAAGAGTTTTCTCCAATATCTTAGTAAAAATCAGAGACGTGTTTTGAGAATACGGAATATATGAAGTTCGCCAGAATCCAATGATTGAAGTGCTTTGACTTCGGATTATAGATTGTTGAATCCTGGGAGACGGACGTTTACCGAACTACAAGCACAAGAGTAGGGACGAAATTCTGTCTTAAGGACATTGCATTTATGCAAGCCTCAATCTCCAAGTTTGTCAGTTTTTCTAACTTTCTCTCTAGTTGTTTATATTAATATCATATATAATTGATGTTGTGAATTTCTTTATGATTATTATCATTGGAATTATATTTATTTTCATATTTTCTAATATTGCTCCAACAGTGGGCATGTACATATAAGGCATAGAGGATCCTCTCCCCTGGTCGATGGGATATAACAATACGATAATTAATTGGGTCATTATCGGGTCATACGATAATAATCTGTTAATAACAGGTCCTTAACAGGTTTACACGAGAGTGACACGTGGATAACCTGTTTCGACATGATAAGAAAAAAGTTATTTTGATGATTTTAATTTTTTAAATTACTAAAAAAAACTTACTATAAAATACAATAGATATAATGAATATGTATATATTGTTTATTAACTATTATTCTATATAAATTTTAAATTTTAAGTTTTATTTATTTATTCATTTATTTTTATAGTATATTATAGGCAAAGATTGAGATTAAAAATCATAAAATACATTAAAAATAAAAATATCAAGTAATTTAAAAATACCAAACACATTAAAAAAATTATAATAATTAATTTACATGTGCGAAAAATTTGAAAAAAAAATGCAAATGCTCGTAGCCGCATCCTCTACGCTTTGAGGATGGGTATATGATCATTTGAATTTTTAAAACCATACAAACTCTCATGAATAATATTTTTAAGGTAGTTCAAAATAAACAAAATTCATAATCATTAATGTATAAGTCTGAAAGCATAATAAACATTCATAATTGAATCCTCAATGCTTAGACGATGGTTACATGGTCGTTTAGATTTTAAAACCTTCCAAATCTTATGAACAGTGTTTTCTATTTGAGTGAAAAATTAATAATGATTTTTGTAGAAGTGTGAAAAATGTAATCACTCGTAATGAAAATCTTTACAACTTTCATGAAGGGGTCAATTCTGAAATTTAGTATATATATATATATATACACACACACACACACTAATTTAGTATTATGTTTTACATTTTTTTGGGTCAAATTATGTTTTTCATTTCATTTTTATTGATTTAAAATATATTTTTCTTAACGCCTAACGGATCGGGTCATATTACCTAATAATATTAATGGGTTGATTTCGGGTCGAGTCATATTACCCGTTTACTTTAACGGGTATTACACGACACAACCCGTTAAGCTATCAGGTATGACACAAAAACGACACGAACACAAGAGACACGACACGAATGTCAGGTCTACCTTTGATGACCAAGGCATCATCGTGGGCTGAGTGTATGTCTTTCAGGACTTTGAAGACCAAGGCATTGTTGATCACTGAACATCAGGATACTAGATGATGGGGAGGGGTTTGTTGATGGAAGCTACCATCTTTGCTTCTTTCAACCTGCTTTTCTTTCTTTTTTAGTTTTATCTAGATACTCTTGTCTTCCATAAATGCAGTTGACGTTGAGAACCAATGTCTCCATTAGCTTTTGGTTTCTAGAAGATTTATGAGATCTCTTGGATCTTTTGCAAAATGTTTTAGGAGTGGGGCGACGACACTTCGCATAAGGGTTCAAATTAACAGTTGAGATTGGGGTCTAAACAAGAATTGCCTCAACTAGCGGTTCTTCAAAACCATAGACAATGTTTTTAAGGGCCTTCACACATTGAACAACCCTTTATTCATAAGGCCTTTCGAAACTTGTTAACTGACACGTTAATCTTTACCAAAGTTTTCCAAATTTGATCCATAGTGGTGGCATTTTCAATACCAGAAGCATCGTCGCTCTCTGGGCTATGAAGGTGTCATGACATTGCTTTAAAATAGCCATTGTTGTGGTAGAGTGATTTGGACGGGTGGAATATGAGTTTACTCTCAATGAAATCACCAATTGTTGGAACCAAATTCGTACACCGCTAAGAAGGGTGGAGATGCACAAACTCGTTAACCTGTAAAATAGAAACAACCATAAGCAGCCAATGACTGGGGATGGTGCCAACCAAAGGCTTTCCAAGGATCAAGTTAGTAACTTATATTATAAAACTCAAACAATATGCAAAAGAATAAGTGTATGATTATTGCGTTACTAGAGATGAACCCTAAAAGAGTGTATTTATACAAGTTATAATCGAGACCTTTAGGATATGGAATTTGTCTGTAAACCAGGAGAATCCCAGAGGGTATGTAGGAGTAGATATTGCATCCTCCTACTAGTTGGATTACTTGTGGCACAAGTCAATCATTATATTGTAAGGATTCCAAAAATATAGAAAATCTGGCTAATTATTTATTGGATCATGTTTTTGATTCTTGCAGAACAAGCACGGTGAATCTAAGTGAAGTCGTTAGACTTCGCCCATTGTTCAAAAACAGGATGGTGGTGGCATCCCTGATCCGTTTGTGCAACTTCGTTGTGGAAGTTGTTGAATCTATGACCAGACTTCTAAGGTATTCTTATTTCGATTTGTCTTGCTTCAACCCTAGAAAATCATGGTCCCATAAAAGTGGTGGCTTAGGCAGTGCCAGATTACTCAATGAAATTGATTCCTGGTGTCAACTTGCAGCGAAATTGATTCCTTATTAGCAAGGTTTTGGTGGAGTCAAAGAAATAAAAAAAGAAGTATTCATTGGATTAGTTGGGAGACTTTGGGCTTAACAAAATATAAAGGCGGTTTGGGTTTAGGAACTTACAGAAGTTTAACGTAACCCTTATTGTAAAGTAATCATTCACGAACCAGATTAGGGGTGGGCAAACAGGTATATGAACCGCTGATCGGGTAGGGTAATCAAGGTTCGGGGCAGGCCGGTTCTAGATGTATAGAAAAATGGGCCTCAGACCAACCCGTTTGTAATTGCAATGGTCAGACGGACAAGATTGAAGAGTAACCTACCATCTAATCTTAATTGTTAGTTTTACCCTAGGTCTCCTCTAGCTTGACTCTATCACTCGAGTCCTCAAACTTGATTCTCTCTCATCATCTCGCATCCCCTCCCCTCCATGGTTCCATCCACATTCTGTCACTCTCTGTCAGTCATCTCATCCACCACTTTGACATCACTGCCGTCGCAAATCTAGGCCCTAACGACCACCACAACGGCCCATCAACCTTAATTATCCTCCTCAAGTCCTTAACGACATCCCAAACTTAGAGATTCTCACTGACCCAGTCATCTCTTTCATAATCTCTCTTCTGAACCCAGATTGAATCTCCTTAATCCTCTCTCTCGAATCTCGATCTCGACTCTCTACAGTCGACAGTCAAGTGAATATGCCAGTCCATAGATCCAGCCACTGAGTTTCCAGCCAATGTGGCATTCGTGGCTAAAAGATAGGGTATTA